ACGGGATAGGTGGTGCATTAAGAGCGCGCTTACAGATTTGTATTTCTCAAGTCATTTTCTCAATAAACAAATCACAAAGTTACCACCTTTTCAATTCTTTCCATTTCTTGTTATAATTATTTTTTTTGTATAGAGAAAATTGATAAACATATAGGTGACTTTTACAATAATCGTAATAAATTACTAGGAATTAATTAAAAACCAATTTTGACACTCAATTTGCCATCCTCTGTCCCTGTCTTATTGCTGTAGTATGCTTTACGCCTCTTAAACAACTCAAGTGTTTCGTAGGTGTAAAACTACAATATTATCAATCGTGGACCGGGTCTAGACGATCAGTGATCAACCGATGATTTATAACGTGGATATGCTACTGTGTGTTGATCACACGATCGTGATTTAAGCTCTGATAGTATAAGTATTATCGGACGCTCGCGCATCGATCATTGGTAGTCACCGTAGATCTATTGTGGACCTGTTTTATCTAGCAAATATAAAGTTATGCGGCGCTCTAGCGGCTTTAATTAATATCTGTAATGAAATCTCTCTTTGTGTGTATGTTTTATTATTATTGCATTTGGTTATATGCTTTTCCTCCTTAAAGAGGGAAAAAATATATAGAATATAACTCCTAAAATATAATGCCAAATTGTATGCCTCATAATAGGTATGAATTGATATTTTAATTGTTGAAATTGAGCAACGATAAAGTTTTAAAAAGGTTTTATTATTTGCTCAATCGTTCGGTAAAAAAGTGTGTAACGCATAATAGCAGTGTAAGCCTTTTAGTAATTCAAATATAGTGTATTAAATGTTTAGGATATTCATTTATATAGGTATTTTTAAGCACTACTTATTATAAAAATATTATTCACATTCTTTCACTTCTTCTCTATGTAATGGTATGCATAATTATTGTAAAACCTATAATTTTATGTATAAGGATTCTACAAGAAGTAGGTATTTAAGAATATTTATTCTTAAAATTCATGTGACTGAAAGCTGTAAAGAAACATTTTTAAATTCGAATTGTTAAGCCCTTTTTCTTCTGGTTATTCTTCATATGATATTATGTGCAGGCTGAATATAAGTTTTCGCTAACTGGGAAACAGCAACAACTTATTTAGAAAATAAAATAGATTAAAATTTAACCGCATCACTTCGCATTTATTAAATCTCAAGTTAATTTAAACTTCATTAAGTCACGGAACATAACAAAATAAAATACGAAGAAATTTAAGTTTACCCAACACGGATGGATATCAACAGTAAACCCGCACCAATCTTGTATAGAATTTATTACATTACATAAAACTCGACATCATGGAAATCTAAAAATATGAAGATAGTACAACACCAATATCTTAACTACTTTAGAAAGGTTTATTTTGTTATTGATTGGTCGGGAATCGAACTTGGCGATCTTATAAATGGCGACAACATGACTCAGTTGTCCACGATCCTATAAAATCTTAAAAAAACTGCGCAACTCTGGTAGCGAGTCCAATAATAATCGAAGAAAAGTATTTACGATTGCCCCAACCGATAACAAAATCAGAGGTAAGTTAAATTAGCATCTGACAAATTTAATACTTGATAAATTTTGCATCTATAATGGTAAATTGATATTATGTCAAGCTATCAGTTTTCACATTAATGATAACCATAGATATCTAAAGTTTATTAAAAATTGCAGAAGACTTGGAATAGGCCTATTTTTCCTGCTATCGGTAATCGATTTCGGCAAGTTGTAATAGTTGCCATTTGTGGCAACCAAAGTTGCTAAGTCTGCGTAGTGCTGTACAATTTATATTTGAACAAGTTTATTAATTTAATTCTAAACAGAAAGTTTGTTTGATTTTAAAAATATACTATGAAAATAATATCGAAAAATATTAGAATATGAAAAATAAATATTAAGACTGGATTATATTATTACCTCTAGATAACTTAAATATCATTATCATGAAATATTATTATCATGATTTTATTCCTTTATCAAATATGATCAAATATTGATTTTTTATTCAGCTAGCTTAATTTTTTTTTAAATTTTAAGTAATTTAGTCAATTTTAAGTAAGTTAAAATCATTGTTCCGTCAATCCTAAAACCTTAATAATTTCAACTCATAAACTACAAAAAAAAGAGAATGATGAGGAAAAATGATTCTCCTTTTTCGGTAGTTTTTGAGTTTATTAAATGAACCATTAAGTAGACTATAGAGAGAATAACCATCTTTGTATAATATTAAGGAGAAAACATTATTTTATTAGATTTTCCTTCTTAGGTTATCGTAGCAAAGCAATACAATGCAATGCTTTAAAAGGCATTTATAATATACTCCTCAGACAATAGTATTTATAATTTGCCATCAAAATTGAAATGCCATCATTTTCGTACGACTGCTGGGGATGCTATAAAAATTATTACTAGCTTTGCATCTTCAGAAAGTAGGAAGAAAAGAATGATAAGCATACAATAGGTGTATAATCTACCTAGAAGTAATTCCTCAGCTGTTCCGAAGTCTGAAAGAGAAAACGGCTACTATATTTTTGTTCCTTCATTTCAAAGTACGGATATTCATTTTAATTATAGTTATATATGTATGTTTAAAATTTTATCTCCATTCCAATTGGTAACGTATTGGTATGAAAGATAAAAAAAATTAATAATAAAAAAGCCACTGATAATATAATTAAATCCCTGAAAAATCAAAGTGTCGATAGCATCGGACACTGGTGGTGTTAATCGATCGATTATTTCTTTGCGGAGTCGTCGTATCTCCACATATCTAGATACGCAACGACGTAAATCAATTTAATTCACGATAATGTGATTTGATTCCTTTTCTTTTATTCCTTTATCGAAAAAATCCTTGATTCAGTCGATCGGAAGATAGCGACTTCGCTGGTTGTGATATATCGTTCGATTGCATTGTTCTTGAACCCTTTATCAGCATCTAATATTCGGTGAGAAATCAATAGTGTTTACTATTTGAGATAATTTTTATTATCATTAGGTATATTTCTGTTTGCGTTTATAAAATGTTAGATAAGTACATCTAATACGGTACGGTAATGAAATCAGATCAGTATCAATATTTAAATTTAGAATAAATAATTTTATTTAAATTCGATTAAATACATTAGAATTAAAAACGAGGTTGGTACAAAAATTAAGCACGTAAAACACTATTTCTTTATTTTTTGTGTTCGACGTATAACCAGAAAGTCTATGTTAAATTGGAATAGTACTTTATTTTTTATTTATTTGAAATTATAAAAATCTAGAAATGTTTTAAAATTTTAGCCTAGTCTTAAATATTATGGATTTAGTTAATGATGTTTGGAGGTTTGGTTAATATAGAAGTATGTGTAATGTTTAACTTCTTTTTCATTTTAGTACCTCAATGGTTTTATTAAACTTGGAATATATCATACTGTGCTACTTGATTTTAAAGCTATGGTAGAGTCATGCAGGCAGGGTTTTGTTTTATCTGTTTAAATATGTAGAAAATAAAAAATGAGATGAAATAAACGTGAATTATATTGGTAACGTCTTATATTTAGGACACTTATTAATAAATATTTTGATTCTGACACGAGTGTGAGCCTCACGGTGGAGGCAATAAGTTGGAGCTCTCATTGAAAAAAAAAGAAATTACTCGCAATGCGGATATATACCCGCTGTGTCCACTAAAGATTTACAGATGGATTTATTTTTAGTACAAACATAATGATTAAAAATAATTGACTTGTTGTGTAGACGTTTTTGACCTATTGTGATTTACTGGTAACATGTTTAAAAATAATTTCTGCATTAAAATAATTCGTTGATCACTTACGTCAGCAATGTCGTAAATTGACGTTATAAAAAAATAAATTTATGCAACTAAAAAAATTTATGAATTTAGCAAAATTTTATTCGTATAAGTATATTTTATGTACACATTACGGTATAATATGCTATTTATTACTTTTATTAATGGTATGTTAACTGTAATATTTATTTATCAAAGTTAAGTCATTAATTAAATATATGCATATCATATGTACTAAATTGTACGAAAGTTCTTGAAATACCATAAGCGACCTAAATATATATTATTCCTTTACACAAAGGTTGCCTGGTAGAAATAACTTTTTAGTAATGATTGTAAAGTTTAATGGATTGTATCCATTTGTTTTTGTCCTGTATTGGAAAACATAATGTTGTTGTAAACCTGTAAAATTAATTCAATAAGCCTTCAAGAATTCTATTCATTTAATAATATATCCACAAGATAATGAGTCTATTAATTGACAAATAGATCCATCAACTAAAGTTGATAATAATATTGACCACTCAGTTTGTAGAACGACGAGTAAAACGACATTTACTGAAATGTCTAGATGTATTAATGTGTATCTAAATTGCGATTTATTGGCGATGTCTTATCTCTGACATTCAAAAGTAATGTGACAAACGTTATCTGAATTTAGATCTTTTGTAGCGAACAGTTTTAATAATTTGTAATTCTAACTATTCATAATGTGTTTTATTAGCCCGTTCCATTGATTTACAAATATAGCTTTCAAATTACAACCTATTTAAAGTGTATTTTTCTAAATTTTGTATTTTATTAATTTAATCACTTATTGATAAGGAGGAGACTTTCGCAATCAGTCGTAGTGTTAGATAGGTAACATAAATTTGACGTGTTGAATTGTTTACGTTTTTAAATCGTTTACTATGATTAATACATTTGCTACCGTAAATTTGTTTGCATAGAGTGTAGTAGTGTGTCTACGACAGATGTAGTGTACAGATTGTGTACGGTGATTTTAGTAGCAATAAAAATCACGACTTGGTTCGCTAACATCGCTTAATGCGCGCTTATCGCTTATCGGAGCGGTATCGAGTGTTGTTCGCGCGATATCACCTAATCAAATTGGGAGCGTATCGATATCACCGACGTTTTTCGATAGCGCACCACTATTATCTTAATTGATTGTCTTTTTTTCCAAACACCGTCGTCGTGCACATTTCTCTTTGATGTTGCGCTGTTATCGTTGGTATTAATTGATGATTTCTGTTTCAGGTTTGTGCAACATGTCAAGGTTGTTCGCGTGGCGGCGTTAAAGACAGTGCTAGCTACTTTTAGAGATTGACTGAAATGCGGATAGGTGTGACTTCGAGTGGGTGTATATAAAAACGATGCATGGTGTGTGAGGTCGGGTCTGCGGTCATGGACATGAGCGGAGAGGGTGGAGGCGCGGCCGCGGGGGCGGGGGCGCTTCAGCAGCGGTGGTACGAGAGCCGCGTGAACGGCAGCCCCGCCGCCGGCGACGTCAACGAGCCCAACGGGGACTTTTTCCACTCGCCGCTAGAGGGCGGTCACCATAGTCGCGCTCGCTATTACCATCAGCAGATGCACGCTCCATACTCAGCCGCTGTCAGCTCGCATGGTGAGTACTTACTAGTACGGTCATATCTACTTTGTTGAATCACGAAGTATATAGTGAACGATGAGGAAATCTGAGTGATCAAATCTTTAAATATGTTATATGGGTACTAAGCTATAAATAAGAATTATCTGATTAATATTATCATTAAAAAAAAGATAAGCCCTAAACCTTCTATATACCTACCCGATGAAAATAGCCGTAACTTCAATAAGCGACCTTTTATTAGATGAGTGAAATTAAGCGAATCGTTCCCAAGTCGGTAGCCGCGCGACGTTATCGTATATCAGGCGATATCTCTCCCAAACTCCACAATTAATTCGACGGACCGGAGCAGTCAAAATCGCCATTCTGTGAGGTGACAGCTTAGGTAAACACGATCTAAAATGGGCTTCGGTCTTATAAAAAAAAAATATCCATCTTTTTTGTTTTTCTTCTTTTTGAGGTTTAAATTTTATGGCGGCAATAAAGTTTTTCTTGGAGACAGGTGGCTCTTCTTTATATTTTAAGTGCACAACTTGTGACGCACAAACGCTCTTATGGAAAGAGCTATTTAAGGGCTAGAATGGCATGCGACGTCCGAGGGTACGATTAGAATTTATTTGAAGGTGCGTCGGTAGTGATGTGACACTTAAGAAACTGTGTCACTTCTCAGAATCGGAACTGGGAATTGATTTCGTCGCGTTCACAGCAGTAACGTATGATTGTTTATGTGCTAGCCGGGGAGGGACGATGTCCGAGCGTCGGCTGTTTCGGCCCGTAAACTCTGTTATCGTGTTGTGTCGACTCAACGTAGCTTCTTGTCGTACCGATTATATCTGGATCTGTAACCCATCCGAACGCGCGGCGGAGGCTCGATTAGGTTACTTTACACACAAAATTATGTGAAACACTGATCCACGGCGGACGATAGCTGTGTAAAAATATGAATTGACCCCTCGATTCATTTACAACTTTGTTACTCAACTCAAGACAATTTATGGATATATCATTTTTTATTGCTATCTATCTGTGGTTGGCGAATGCTCTTTTTTATTATACCTCAAGCTTTTGCTGTAGAGATCGAGTAGTTACAAAAAGGAATTTTAAAAGTAAAGACGCTCACATAAAGTTGGCAACGATGACAACTCGGATCTTTTTCATTCGGCTCGACCGCTTTACGAGCCGGCACCGAGCAGCCACGTGCGTTATTATGACTAGTTTATTTAATAAAATGCAAAAACGTGTTTCACATACAACACTGTTATTATAAGATAATTGGTGTTTATTTTCTCCGTTTCAACAATAAAAAATAATGATCTTATTTCAGGTTCATTGAACGTGTTTAATTAAAAAAAAAATTTCGTGACGGAATTATTTTTATTGTCAAAGTTTGCACAGTGTGCAGAATAATAATTTTTAATATCATATATTCGGATGATAATAATAGTTTATATTAATTCTCATTATTTTTTCTTAAGGTCTGTGGAATGCAATATTGGTGACAAAAAGTAGAAAAAATGCCTCTAACGTTAATGGCGGCTAGGCTGTCCATGTAATCCAATAGGAGGCGAGTTTGACGGTTCCAATAATTTACGACACCGTAATGCGATTGATGACGTACGCCCGAATATTTATTTCACTAAACGTGGACCCTTAACTTTATTATTCTTTTTATGTTCAACTTCTGTAATGCTACACCTGTGGCCGTTGAAATGTATCACGGGATAGGTATTGAAAATTTGACAATTTATGTGTGATATTTAAGGCTTTGTTTTTAGACGACGTTTTTGTGATCTTATTTTTTGCTAAATAAATTGGAAGCTAAAGTAAACATGTTATATAACATATTTAGTATCATTTAAAAATTTATCGTAAATTTATATATTCTCAAGGAGGTAATTATATTCTCAATCTTAAACGGACAAGTAACTGTCTTTCTTTTTAATTGTTGTTTTTACCCTTAAATAGATGAGCCGAATTTTGGCTTCCAAAAAAAACCCGACTCTGAAGGAAAGCATAGGCTATTTTATTGTCTTTAATTCTATATCCATCATTTAAAAAAAGAAATTCAGAGGTGAAAATTATTTCGAATATTAAACAGTAAGTATCGCAATCCAAATTATAATTTACGCTGAAGTCAGCATATTGTTGTTGTTGATTATTAGAAAGATGCTTTTCAGAGACACCAATTAAATTAGGTGTAACGCTGATTCAGTAAATCTAAAACGACAAACCAACCGAAATATCCATTTCGTAGTGTTATTATTCCGTGTAGTAACTTTAACAAGCGATCTATAGGTATTTCAACAAAAAGGTCGTCTGATATTTGTTTCTTACATGCCCACGCTCGGGCGCCCAAGTTTCCGAACAAAACAAACGCATTATTCAATCTGGGCGCCCTGTATCGGTTGCTCATCGCCCATTTCACACCTATTGAGCAATGACAAACGTGAACCGAGCCGCAAACTTGTGTGTACACACAAATACCAACCATAAAAGCAATATATAACGTTCAAAGTCAAATGTAAAAAACCCTAGTAAAAAGTGTAATTGTTATCATACGATTTTTAAATTATTGGTTACAGCCTACTTAAAGAACTTTACACGCTGATTGAACCACTGTACTATGAACAGTGAAACGATTGTAACTTACTTTATAAATTACAACGAATACCATGAAGTTTTTATTGTGTTTAATATCCTCCATATTGTTTATTCTATTAACAGTATGTAGGATAGGTCTTGACGTAGACAGGTATCGTTGTGAAAAGTAGCTTTTGTATAGAGCGGACCTATTCCGGACGGAAGCTCATTTGTTTTTTATTCTCCTATACAAGTTTGTGTCACTAGACGGCACAAATGAGACTTTTTCAATTACCCACAGCATTCTGTGTGCTAACTAAATGAACATGACGCCTCTCCCCTAACACACTATACACCTATCTATTATTAGTACATACTGAGGTACTTAAACTGTGTGTATTATTTCATATATTTGGGGTGAAGTTTCTTTTTTGGGTATATTTTTTTACATATTGTAACTGTGTGTTATAACTAAAAAGCAGGAAATACATATATTAAACTTCGGTAGGTAAAAATTTTCTTTATAAAACTTGTATTTAAAAATACTCGTGTGTATTCGCGTTCGTTTTTTAGAGCAGCTCCTTGCTTGTATTCCGCTTAATTATTTGCGCCACACAATTATCGCTGCACCGTTCCTATTATTTAATGACAATGAATATGAAATGCGTGCATTTGCCAAACGCATCCCGGCGTGGCGTGCGTACACGCAGCGGAGCGTACGCGTGTGCGTTTACGAGCGGGCTCAGATTGGCGCAATTAGTACGAATGGGCGGAGCTTGTGCTAGCGACATCTCCACCCCAACGCACACTTGCACAGAAACGCTTCGAAAATATTGCCCTCAACCGCTAATTATTTTACTGCACTAAAATTTAGTAGTCACTATTAAACGTGGACGGAGACTTCTCATATTTATTTTTAATGTTCAACGGATGTTGGTCTGAGAATTTAATGTTAACATAGCAGCATAAGATATAACTATGATACAAATTGAGAAATCTGTAGACAATTTTATAGCTTTATAACGTCAATGTATAAAAGAATATATTTAAATTAAACCATGTTCCATGAACACTACATGTTACATCAAAAGTTTTTTTTGCAATTAAGATCAGCTAGAGTTTTATACGTTGTACAATCATGTCTACTACAACTGTTCTGCACTATAAATTCTTAATGAAATTTGTAATACAACATATATTACAAGACCGTAAATCAACATTGTTAATTTTAATTAACTGGTACTGGTGCTTTTATCTCTAGTTTAAAACACATTGTTATGTCGTGTATTATTATGTGAAAAATAATATGATACGCATTAGGTTTTCTCAAATGTGACTGGAGAGGGTATAACAGTGTGATACTGGAATAGGTATACGGCGGTCGGTGGTGTGGAAATGGAATATTGCCGCGTGACCAACTTTCCAGAAACAAATTCGGCCGAACGATTCTTTGGATTGTAACTTATATGGTCTACACAGTCGTTTTTCAATTGACTAATTAGTTACATTTCATGTGACATTTTTGTGTTGTATTTCTAAGTAACTATATAATGTAAAATGTTTAGGTTAGTGATGTACCTAATTGAAAAACTTTGAATGTTTTTTTTTACACACACGCGCAGATTTTTATTGGCTGATAAAATTATAAAATGTATTTACATACACAAGTATGTATAAAGTTTATTGAGCTCAGAAGACAAAGTTAACCCTTGATATTCCTTCTCATACAACCGAATTCCTTTCAAACTCATTTTCCGTGCACTCTGTGCACCTGTGCAACTAGTTACCTAAAGCCATAAGGGAAGCTCGCATTTTGCAATGTTTTATTGAACTTACTTCCTGTCTCTGTCTTGATGAATCCAAGCACTATAATATTTTTTTTGGATTAATTTGAGCTCTTGTGATATTCAATTAGAATTATCTATTTACTTCTTCGTCTTGCATTCTCCTTATTTATTTATATCTTTTTTTTCGTCCAAAGTTGGCTGGAAAATGTTGCTACGTAACAATAAGGCCGCGTTTTGTCTATTCTCTTTTGTAGCTTCTTTGTAATATCTCCGATGCACACTATGCAATAAACAACATTATTATATACTTAGCTGTTTTTTATTATTATTGCATACGTGAATATGTGATTAGTAATAATTGTTTTATTATTAGTATATTAAAATATTCAATAAGTGTTGTTACACTACGTATATAATATTAAGGAATTTAAGGGTGAGTTGTAACTCTAATATAGATATAGGTATAGGTACTAATATAGATATATATTAAACAAAGGAGTTTATATTTTCAATCATCATCAAAATTAGCATTATTAATCTCAATATAATTGGGAAACAGATCTTCCTCATGGATGAATTCAAATAAAGAGAACGAACTATAGCCAATCACGCGGGCTCAATGTGGAGTTTAGGGTGCTTACAAAGGCAGTC